TACTAGGGGGTTCAGATGCGACAAGAGGACGGGGGCGAGAAGGGGGGGGGGAGGGGGAAGAGTATTGAAAGAGGGTCTGGCGGATGAGCTGTTTTTGCAAATGAATGTGGATCAGGCCGGCTTTTCGCTAGACTTCCGCGATAACGAATGAGGGTAATTTTATTAAAGCTAATACGAAACGGGTACAAGCGGATTTTCTTCGTTTTAATCGAGCCGAAGGAAAAAAAGCACTATTTACACTGTAAACACTCGGTTTTTGCACTTCTAAATTCTTTTTTGTTCATTTCTCACCCTTATCTTTGTCAGTCTTCCTCTTTGCTGCCTTCTTCCAGGAACTACACCATATTATATAATGCCACAGCACTGCAGTGCTTTTCCTCTCCTTTCAAATGATAGCAACACATAAACCATACTATGCTTCTATTGAATTCCTTACTTTTCGTGAATTTTAGATCAAACACCGATCGTTTTGATATCATTTTTGACCTTTGCGATGCATTCGCAAATGATTATATCAGCGCTTTCACTTTCCTGAGATTGTTTATCGAAAAAGAAATTATTCCTGTAAGTTTCGCTCTTCTTTTTTTAAAAAAAATAAGTTTCGCTCTTCTTTTTTAAAAAAAGAAAACACTTTTGAGTTCCATTACATACAAGCGAACTTCGAGATGATATAGGACGAGATTTTAGTGACTTTCAATGAAATTTCCGGAAAAGCTGAAGGTGTAAACTTACAGTGTTGAGTTAAGACGTATATGACTTAATGGACCAAAACGTTTTATCTCATTCTTACCTCATAATCTTTTTTTTCATTGCAACCCTCCGGTTTTTCACACCAATTGAGCATCCAGGGCTGACCTGGTTGCTGCATTCTAATTGTTTTTGTAGCGCCAGAAGTTTCAGCAAACCGACAACTCAGTCGATTCTGATAATCCAAAGTTAATGAAGTGATCAGGATTTACTGAACAAAATAATGCTCCATTGCCAAAAATCGCATATTACCGAAAGTTTAGAGCGGAAATAATGCAAAGGGTCGAGTTTCCTTGCTTGTCGACTGTGTTGGTTTGGAACAGGTCTTCAGTTTTATCTGCTTAAAACTCGGAGGGAATACAGAGGACCCGCATGTTTTCCTATAATTTAGCAGATAGACGGTGTTGACTTGGAAGAAGTTGAGATTACATTAACGTGAGCCTCTAATGTCAGGCCTTTTATATTGATTTTGAATCTTTGTATCTTGCAGAAGTACTCTCTTGAATGGCGTCAGAATGCATTGAAACGCATCGTTGCAAAATTTGAAGAGGATCCGAGCACAGCACACAGCATGAATACTGTCAAAGTACTGCAGCATATTGTTATCCCGTCACTACACTACGCCTTCGAACGTTACAACGTTGACTTGGTAACGATATTTCAGGATTTTCAAGCTTTTTTTTTGCTCTTATTGCTTGAAAACCTCACTGATTTGATGAAGTAATACGTGTAAGATGCAGTGGATCCAAGGGAATCCTTGACAGATAAGAGATTTTTAGTTAGGAAATGTTTTTTAGTTAGATTTTTTCCACTAATCATGGAATTTCAGGTTGTTGGTACGCCAGCAAAGCCAGCTGATGTGGATGATAATAATCTGATATCGTTGGTATGCCATAAAGTACTGGATCGGTTGAAATTCCAATTTTCCGATGCGATGCTCATACAACTGTTCAATTTGGGCATTCTTTTTGTTACCAATTGCCCAACGCACATTCACGATTTTGCACAAAGGTTTACCTCTTACAGATGCAGTCGCTTAATCGAAATTCTATTAAAATGGATTTTTGATGAAACTTTTAAA